CTTCAAGACCTTCCGTGTTCCTCTATGGACCTACTTCTCTCATGCCCTTCAAGACCTTCCGTGTTCCTCTATGGACCTACTTCTCTCATGCCCTTCAAGACCTTCCGTGTTCCTCTACAGACCTACTTCTCTCATGCCCTTCAAGACCTTCCATGTTCCTCTACGGACCTACGTCTCTCATGCCCTTCAAGACCTTCCGTGTTCCTCTACGGACCTACTTCTCTCATGCCCTTCAAGACCTTCCGTGTTCCTCTACGGACCTACGTCTCTCATGCCCTTCAAGACCTTCCGTGTTCCTCTACGGACCTACTTCTCTCATGCCCTTCAAGACCTTCCATGTTCCTCTACGGACCTACGTCTCTCATGCCCTTCAAGACCTTCCGTGTTCCTCTACGGACCTACGTCTCTCATGCCCTTCAAGACCTTCCGTTCCTCTACGGACCTACGTCTCTCATGCCCTTCAAGACCTTCCGTGTTCCTCTACGGACCTACGTCTCTCATGCCCTTCAAGACCTTCCGTGTTCCTCTACGGACCTACGTCTCTCATGGCTCAGTCTCATGGCTTATTAAAGCCAGCCAGCTGGCTTTAATAAGCTTCGTCCAAGAAGGTATATTTCTAGTCATCATAGGGAGGTTAACATGGGCCACTACTGTGACCACAAATGCATTTGTAAAATTGGGTTGATGACCCACTATTTCAATGGCTTCAATTATGCATCTAACGAGTAATTTAATAGAGACATTCTCAGTTCTTGTAAATAACATTAACATAGCACGTACCAAACATTAACACAGCACGTACCTCGTTAAACATTAACACAGCACGTACCTCGTTGAACATTAACACAGCACGTACCTCGTTGAACATTAACACAGCAGGTACCTCGTTAAACATTAACACAGCACGTACCTCGTTGAACATTAACACAGCACGTACCTCGTTGAACATTAACACAGCACATACCTCGAACATTAACACAGCACGTACCTCGTTGAACATTAACACAGCACGTACCTCGTTGAACATTAACACAGCACGTACCTTCGTGAACATTAACACAGCACTACCTCGTATAAACATTAACACAGTACGTTCCTCGTTAAACATTAACACAGCACGTACCTCGTTGAACATTAACACAGCACGTACCTCGTTAAACATTAACACAGCACGTACCTCGTTAAACATTAACACAGCACGTACCTCGTTAAACATTAACACAGCACGTTACCTCGTTGAACATTAACACAGCACGTACCTCATTAAACATTAACACAGCACGTACCTCGTTTAAACATTAACACAGCACGTACTCGTTGAACATTAAACACAGCACGTACCTCATTAAACATTAACACATGCCACGATACCTCGTTAAACATTAACACAGCACGTACCTCGTTGAACATTAACACGCACGTTACCTCATTAAACATTAACACAGCACGTACCTCGTTAAACATAACACAGCACGTACCTCGTTGAACATTAAACAGCACGTACCTCATTAAACATTAACACAGCACGTACCTCGTAAACATTAACACAGCTCGTCCTGTTGAACATTACACAGCACGTACCCTCATTAAACATTAACACAGCACGTACCTCGCTTAAACATTAACACAGTACGTTCCTCGTTAAACATTAACACAGCACGTACCTCGTTGAACATTAACACAGCACGTACCTCGTTAAACATTAACACAGCACGTACCTCGTTGAACATTAACACAGCACGTACCTCGTTAAACATTAACACAGCACGTATCTCGTTGAACATTAACACAACACGTACCTCGTTGAACATTAACACAGCACGTACCTCGTTAAACATTAACACAGCACGTTACCTCATTAAACATTACACAGCACGTACCTCGTTAAACATTAACACAGCACGTACCTCATTAAACATTAACACAGCACGTACCTCGTTAAACATTAACACAGCACGTACCTCGTTAAACATTAACACAGCACGTACCTCGTTGAACATTAACACAGCACGTACCTCGTTAAACATTAACACAGCACGTACCTCGTTAAACATTAACACAGCACGTGGCCTCGACATTAACACAGCACTACCTCGTTTGACATTAACACAGCACGTACCTCATTAAACATTAACACAGCACGTACCTCGTTAAACATTAACACAGCACGTACCTCGTTGAACATTAACACAGCACGTACCTCATTAAACATTAACACAGCACGTACCTCGTTAAACATTAACACAGCACGTACCTGTTGAACATTAACACAGCCACGTACCTCATTAAACATTAACACAGCTACGTACCTCGTTAAACATTAACACAGACACGTACCTCGTTGAACATTAACACAGCAAGTACTCATTAAACATTAAACCACAGCACGTACCTCGTTAAACATTAACACAGCACGTACCGTCGTTGAACATTAACACAGCACGTACTCTCATTAAACATTTAACACAGCACGTACCTCGTTAAACATTAACACCAGCACGTACCTCGTTGAACATTAACACAGCACGTACCTCATTAAACATTAAACACGCACGTACCTCGTTTAAACATTAACACAGTACGTTCCTCAGTTAAACATTAACACAGCACGTACCTCGTTGAACATTAACACAGCACGTACCTCGCTTAAACTATTAACACAGCACGTACCTCGTTACACATTAACTCAAACAGCACGTACCTCGTTTAAACATTAACACAGCACGTATCTCGTTGAACATTAACACAACACGTACCTCGTTGAACATTAACACAGCCACGTACCTCGTTAAACATTTAACACAGCACGTACCTCATTAAACATTAACACAGCACGTACCTCGTTAAACATTAACACAGCACGTACCTCATTAAACATTAACACAGCACGTACCTCGTTAAACATTAACACAGCACGTACCTCGTTAAACATTAACACAGCACGTACCTCGTTGAACATTAACACAGCACGTACCTCGTTAAACATTAACACAGCACGTACCTCGTTAAACATTAACACAGCACGTACCTCGTTGAACATTAACACAACACGTACCTCGTTGAACATTAACACAGCACGTACCTCGTTAAAACATTAACACAGCCGTACCTCGTTAAACATTAACACAGCACGTACCTCGTTGAACATTAACACAACACGTACCTCGTTGAACATTAACACAGCACGTACCTCGTTAAACATTAACACAGCACGTACCTCATTAAACATTAACACAGCACGTACCTCGTTGAACATTAACACAACACGTACCTCGTTGAACATTAACACAGCAGGTACCTCGTTAAACATTAACACAGCACGTACCTCGTTGAACATTAACACAGCACGTACCTCGTTGAACATTAACACAGCACGTACCTCGTTGAACATTAACACAGCACGTACCTCGTTGAACATTAACACAGCACGTACCTCGTTGAACATTAACACAGCACGTACTCGTTTGAAACATTAACACAGCACGTACCTCGTTAAACATTAACACAGTACGTTTCCTCGTTAAACATTAACACAGCACGTACCTCGTTGAACATTAACACAGCACGTACCTCGTTAAACATTAACACAGCACGTACCTCGTTAAACATTAACACAGCACGTGCCTCGAACATTAACACAGCACGTACCTCGTTGAACATTAACACAGCACGTACCTCATTAAACATTAACACAGCACGTACCTCGTTTAAACATTAACACAGCACGTACCTCGTTGAACATTAACACAGCACGTACCTCATTAAACATTAACACAGCACGTACCTCGTTAAACATTAACACAGCACGTACCTCGTTGAACATTAACACAGCACGTACCTCATTAAACATTAACACAGCACGTACCTCGTTAAACATTAACACAGCACGTACCTCGTTGAACATTAACACAGCACGTACCTCATTAAACATTAACACAGCACGTACTCGTTAAACATTAACACCAGCACGTACCTCGTTGAACATTAACACAGCACGTACCTCATTAAACATTAACACAGCACGTACCTCGTTAAACATTAACACAGTACGTTCCTCGTTAAACATTAACACAGCACGTACCTCGTTGAACATTAACACAGCACGTACCTCATTAAACATTAACACAGCACGTACCTCGTTAAACATTAACACAGCACGTACCTCGTTGAACATTAACACAGCACGTACCTCATTAAACATTAACACAGCACGTACCTCGTTAAACATTAACACAGTACGTTCCTCGTTAAACATTAACACAGCACGTACCTCGTTGAACATTAACACAGCACGTACCTCGTTAAACATTAACACAGCACGTACCTCGTTTGAACATTAAACACAGCACGTACCTCGTTAAACATTAACACAGCACGTATCTCGTTGAACATTAACACAACACGTACCTCGTTGAACATTAACACAGCACGTACCTCGTTAAACATTAACACAGCACGTACCTCATTAAACATTAACACAGCACGTACCTCGTTAAACATTAACACAGCACGTACCTCATTAAACATTAACACAGCACGTACCTCGTTAAACATTAACACAGCAGTACCTCGTTAAACATTAACACAGCACGTACCTCGTTGAACTTAACACAACACGTACCTCGTTGAACATTAACACAGCACGTTACCTCGTTAAACATTAACACAGCACGTACTCATTAAACTTAACACATCACGTACCTCGTTAAACATTAACACAGCACGTACCTCGTTGAACATTAACACAGCACGTACCTCGTTGAAACATTAACACAGCACGTACCTCGTTAAACATTAACACAGCACGTACCTCGTTGAACATTAACACAGCACGTACCTCGTTGAACATTAACAACAGACACGTACCTCGTTTAAACATTACACAGCACGTACCTCACTTAAACATTAACAAGCACGTACCACGTTAAACTTAACACAGCACGTACCTCGTTGAACATTAACACAGCACGTACCTCGTTGAACATTAACACAGCACGTACCTCGTTGAACATTAGATCAATTATAATGACATCAAACTCCTTCCGTCTATTATAAAGATTCTTCACCACGGGGACTTGATACAACTCCCTAGCAAAAGCTAGCAGAATATCCTTCAACGCCTCGAAGGCAGCACTGGGATCCTTCCTATTGCCGAAAAAGTTCAAATTATCCTCACTGTAGTGTGGGAGACCATGAGGGACATCTTCGATGTTAGGATGTCTCGACGACTTCGGTTGGTTGATCAACATCACTATCTGAGAAATTAAATCCAGTTTGAGAGAACTTGACAAAATCCACAAAAACTAAACTCACAATTTGGGAATATTAAACTGAAGATATCTTACGTTTTGTAAGCTATCTTCCAGTTTATTAATGTCACTATTTAAAATTTCTAGCGGTACTCAACTCAGGAATTAGTTCTCTATATAACTCTTGTCAACTCAGGAATTAGTTCTCTATATAACTCTTGTCAACTCAGGAATTAGTTCTCTATATAACTTTGTCAACTCAGGAATTAGTTCTCTATATAACTCTTGTCAACTAGGAATTAGTTCTCTATATAACTCTTGTCAACTCAGGAATTAGTTCTCTATATAACTCTTGTCAACTCAGGAATTAGTTCTCTATATAACTCTTGTCAACTCAGGAATTAGTTCTCTATATAACTCTTGTCAACTCAGGAATTAGTTCTCTATATAACTCTTGTATTTATGCTAATTCTGAGATACAAACAACACATTTAGGTGTTACTTTGTGTCCACGGTCGGCAAGAGACTCGGCCAGAGACGTGAAGATGTTCCTGTGACTCCTGGAGGAGACTGGAAGGAGCATCAGGATCTTATAGGACCTCTCAGGAGGAGACAACTTCCCCAGGATGCTTCCCACCAGCATCACCACCAGGACACACGTCGTCGGTGACTTCATCTGGAGATACCAAGAATTACGCTTTTAGCTATCTTTCAGCATTGTGTTAAATACCGAATTATTAACCAGGTTAAGTTGAACTATGTTAAATTATTTCGTTAACCAGGGTTACGTAACAATGAGGGTTACGTAACAATGAGGGTTACGTAACAATGAGGGTTACGTAACAATGAGGGTTACGTAACAACGAGGGTTACGTAACAACGAGGGTTACGTAACAATGAGGGTTACGTAACAACGAGGGTTACGTAACAATGAGGGTTACGTAACAACGAGGGTTACGTAACAACGAGGGTTACGTAACAACGAGGGTTACGTAACAACGAGGGTTACGTAACAACGAGGGTTACGTAACAACGAGGGTACGTAACAACGAGGGTTACGTAACAACGAGGGTTACGTAACAACGAGGGTTACGTAACAACGAGGGTTACGTAACAACGAGGGTTACGTAACAACGAGGGTTACATAACAACGAAGGTTACGTAAGTAACAACGAAGATTAAATAAGTAACAACGAAGGTTACGTCAGTAACAACGAAGGTTACGTCAGTAACAAAGAAGGTTACGTCAATAACAACGAAGGTTACGTCAATAACAACGAAGGTTACGTCAGTAACAACGAAGGTTACGTCAGTAACAACGAAGGTTACGTCAGTAACAACGAAGGTTACGTCAGTAACAACGAAGGTTACGTCAGTAACAACGAAGGTTACGTAAGTAACAACGAAGGTTACGTCAGTAACAACGAAGGCTAAGTAAGTAACAACGACGGTTACGTCAGTAACAACTGCTATGTATGATATGGTTATACCATGTATGATATGGTTATACCATGTATGATATGGTTATACCATGTATGGTATGGTTATACCATGTATGACATGGTTATACCATGTATGACATGGTTATACCATGTATGACATGGTTATACCATGTATGACATGGGTATACATGTTGACATGGTTACCATGTATGACATGGTTGTACCATGTATGACATGGTTGTACCATGTATGACATGGTTGTACCATGTATGACATGGTTGTACCATGTATGACATGGTTGTACCATTTTATGACAGGGTTTTGTACCATGTATGACATGGTTGTACCTGTATGACATGGTTTACCATGTATACATGGTTATACCATGTATGACATGGTTATACCATGTATGACATGGTTATACCATGTATGACATGGTTATACCATGTATGACATGGTTATACCATGTATGACATGGTTATACCATGTATGACATGGTTATACCATGTATGATATGGTTATACCATGTATGATATGGTTATACTAAAAAATTACAAACTTAAATTGAATTACTTTCAAAATTCTAATCTATATATAGGCATTGTAAATCTCACTAGTTCCCCCTAGCAAACACTGACTCAGTGATGAGGGTTGACTTAGATATTCCGGAATGTGTACTTGGTAAATTCTTATCACAACTGGATTAAATTTTACGGTAGATATTCGGTTATAAATTTTTAAGTGTCTCCTTGTTGCCTGTCACAGTGTGTAATAACTATATTCTCGTAGCAGCTGTCGTTTATTGGGAAGATAAGATAAGATAAGATTTCGTTCGGATTTTTAACCCCGGAGGGTTAGCCACCCAGGATAACCCAAGAAAGTCAGTGCGTCATCGAGGACTGTCTAACTTATTTCCATTGTGGTCCTTAATCTTGTCCCCCAGGAACCCCAAAGTGATTTAAACCAAGGGTCCCTTTTTTTTATAACAAAACGGTTAAAAAAACGTGTTCGAAATTTTCCCCAAGGGAATGAACCCGGGGCCCTCCGTGTGTAACATTTTGGCCCACCGGCCCAAGGGGAGAAAAGATATTCTAATTTTTAACCCCATACCACGGGGGATAAACCCGATCAGGCTCCACGGGGTTCTCCCCCCCCCGTGGATTTTTTTGAATGGCAAACTTTTCGTAGCTAGTCAAATTTTGGGTTTTAGAAAGAAAAGGATTTTAAGGGGGGACGGGTCAAAAGTTTCCCCACAGTGACCCGGGCTCCCGGGGGGTAAAAAAACCGCGGGGCTTTAACCTTTGAAAAGTTCACCATCATAAAATGGGGTTTTTTTTACTGGTGTTGGGCGCCCCCCCCGGGTGTTGTAAAATGGTTTTAATTGGGGTTATATGGGGGGGGTTTGGAATGGGTTTGGGGGTTTTGTGGGGGCACCGGGGGTTTGGGGAGGGTTGGGTTCATCCCGGTGAGGGAAAATGGGGGGGTCACACCCCGGGGTTGTTTATGGTTTCCCCCCCGGATGTTTAAAAACGGGTTGGGTCCTTTTTGGGGTTTTAGTGACTGGGTGGGTCACATCCTGGAGTTAGTAACTGGGTGGGTCACATTCTGTTGTTAGTGGACTGGTGTGGGTAAAATCCGGGAAAAAATGTTTTTTGGGGAAATGGTGGGCGTAAAATGCTTTTATTTGTTTTGACTTTGTTGTAGTTGGCTTTTTACTTGACATGTATTGGTATAACCTTAATTTAAGTATACTGTCAGTATGGATACCTTGAAACATGTAGGGTATCCCTTTGTACATGTACGGTATACCTTGTACATGTACGGGTATCCCTTGTACATGTACTGGTATACCTTGTACATATACTGGTATACCTTGTACATGTACTGGTATACCTTGTACATGTACTGGTATACCTTGTACATGTACTGGTATACCTTGTTACATGTACTGGTATACCTTGACATGTACTGGTATACCTTGTACATGTACTGGTATACCTCGTACATGTACTGGCAGTAAATAAAAATATTAAAACTCACCGTCCCACACTGTGAAGGGAGATACTCAGGTATCTCCCTTCACAGTGTGAGACGCCAACATCATCCCTTCAAGCGTCACTTGGTTACGTTACGTGGACGACGTCCTCGTAATAACTCCCAAACGTTTTGATGTACGGAATCTTCAGGCAAGGCTCAACGCAGTTGAACCGGCGATTCAGTTCACACTAGAAGAAGAGTCCAATGACAAGCTACCTTTCCTCGACGTCCTCATTCACTAAGTGGATAACAACCTAAGATTTCAGGTTTATCGGAAACCCACCAATAAAAATGATCTCACACACTTCTATTCCAGTCAAGATACCAAGACCAAAAGAGGCATCATCATCGGGCTTTTCCTAAGAGCATAATACCGAATTTGTAGTCCTGAGTTTCTTGACGAGGAATGTACCTGAGTTTCTTGACGAGGAATGTACCTGAGTTTCTTGACGAGGAATGTACCTGAGTTTCTTGACGAGGAATGTACATACATTCACCGAACCTTCACTGATTTACATTTTCCTTCCTTTTTCCTCAAATACTGCAAGAAAAGAGCTCTTCAGATCATTAATTCTCCACGCACCAACACCACTCCCAACAAAGTTATAATTCTTCCCAACAGCCAGGTTGCACTGAACGTTTCTAAAGTACTTTCACAAGCTAACACCAGAGTCGCCATCGCTTCCAGCACTTCGATAAAGGATCTAACCAGAACAAACTCCAAGCACCACGAACCAGTCAATGCAGGAGTTTACACTATACCCTGTGGAGGCTGTGACAAGATTTACGTAGGTGAAACAGCAAGAAACCTCGACACCCGCCTCAGTGAACACATTTACGCATGTAGGAACGTTAACTTGAACAACGCCTGTGTACAACACCGAAATTCCACCAATCATCTCATTAAGTGACTTAAGAAATCGCAATGACACGATTGCAAATAAACCATACCCCCGGCCGGGATTGAACCCGCGGTCATAGAGTCTCAAAACTCCAGCCCGTCGCGTTAGCCACTAGACCAGCTAGCCACAACAAGATTCATCCAACTAGGTATATTTCTACACCATAGGAAGGTTAGCACAGGCACCACTGTGACCACAAATGCAAGTTTTTACAGACGAATCTCCAGCTAGCGTGGCCGTGACGAACTCTAGCTCAAGTCCCTTCACTGCCGTCACTGAGCTAGAGTTCGTCACGGCCACGCTAGCTGGAGATTCGTCTGTAAAAACTTGCATTTGTGGTCACAGAGGTGCCTGTGCTAACCTTCCTATGGTGTAGAAATATACCTAGTTGGATGAATCTTATTGTGGCTAGCTGGTCTAGTGGCTAACGCGACGGGCTGGAGTTTTGAGACTCTATGACCGCGGGTTCAATCCCGGCCGGGGGTATAGTTGATCTCATTAAGTTCAGGGACGCCCAACTAGTGATCAAAGAAACTAATTTCCGCAGACGCAAGTGTCTTGAATCTTCACTAATAGCTGTTTCGAATACAATTAAACAAAACAAAGGCAGCTTCACCATCTCTGAAGTCTCAGCAAGAATCCTCCTGAAAACAGTAAACCCTGCCATCACATAGTCTCTCCTGTTATACTACACAAAGCACATTACAGAGAGTGAACACTGAAACAGACCTTCTCTATCCAGCCTCCAATAGAAATATTTGTCTAACCAATTTATATCCTTTACTCATGTGCAAGTTAATTATTCTAACATATATTACTACTACAACTAATATCACTACTACTACTACTATTACCACTATACTAGTGGTAATAGTAGTGCCTATATAGTGGTATACTATTACCACTATATAGACAGTGAGCCTATATATACCCTCTGTGTCCATGTACTGTTTGTAACGGCTTGACAAAGCTCCTGGAGAGCGAAACGTTGCCACAATAAAATATCACTTTATTTGCAGTTGTGTCCTTTTAAGTGACCGTCTCACACTGTGAAGGAAGGTACTCAGGTAGTGTGACCGTCTCACACTGTGAAGGAAGGTACTCAGGTAGTGTGACCGTCTCACACTGTGAAGGAAGGTACTCACGTAGTGTGACCGTCTCACACTGTGAAGGAAGGTACTCAGGTAGTGTGACCGTCTCACACTGTGAAGGAAGGTACTCACGTAGTGTGTCCGTCTCACACTGTGAAGGAAGGTACTCACGTAGTGTGACCGTCTCACACTGTGAAGGAAGGTACTCACGTAGTGTGACCGTCTCACACTGTGAAGGAAGGTACTCAGGTAGTGTGACCGTCTCACACTGTGAAGGAAGGTACTCACGTAGTGTGACCGTCCCACACTGTGAAGGAAGTATACTGACAAGGTTGAGGCCAACACTGGGAACATGTCCCTGGTAACCCAGCCTTGTACACATCACCCAAACATCACAAAAGATATATACCCAACATTACACAAATATTCTCAATCTCTGCTACAACGCTAAGTACATAAATATTTTTCAATTATTAATATTATATAATTTAGAGGAACATTTCCAATTAGCAATGAACATAAAATTTACGAATTACCTATATCATCATGAGTAAACACATCACCACCTGCGTATTTAGCCTTAGTAATCTATCCCCACCTAAATACAGAATAAAAACACTTTGGTAGGAAAGATATTTGGTACTGTTCTGATGTTTACTAAACAGTAAGATAAAATACTGTACTAAGGAACAACACAGACGTACAAGAATAATTCAAAGGTTTATATAACCATTGCAACTCTTCTGGTAAAACAGTCAGGTGCAGTTTTAACGTTGTTTTAAGTAATAATTGACTTGGTAGTAAGGGGGAAGCTAATGCGGCTAATACTGGCGCATCATAAGGAATAAATTAACAAATTGTAAGTATTTCTTTACTTATTTCAAAAAAGGTTGAGTAGATGGCACTGGTAGACGGGGTAATAACACAAGAATATACTCACTGGTCTGGAGACACGGAAAAAAGTTGAAGAAGCTTCACTGGCCCCTTTAATCCATCTCTACTGAGATAGATGGGATGCAGACGCTGAGATAAAACTGAAAGGAATATAATCTAAAACGAACACTTAAATTCCATTAGAAAGCTTGTAAGTAGCATAGTAAGATCACTTATACAGCGGAAACACTTATCGTGAATCTGATACACTCAGAGTGCATCAGGAAAGTCAGTTTGGAGGAGGATAAGGCAGCATCAGAACATACAAAGCCAGATAAAATTAATCACAGAGCAGGCCAGGAACCAGGGTGGAACAGGCAACCAGGAAGACACAAGATATAGACGAGATTAACAACACTTTATCCTCGCCAGAATCTCAACAGCCTCAATTCCTTTCACTTAATAAGCAATTTTCCATGAAATCAGATACCAAAACAGCCCTTCCGACATTAGACTAGATGCATGTAACACTTTAATGCTATACAATACCGATAAGCATAATACACGTATGCAACAGTTTACCTGGAGTTTACCTGGAGAGAGTTCCGGGGGTCAACGCCCCCGCGGCCCGGTCTGTGACCAGGCCTCCTTAGGTCAGTGTCCCAGGATGCGACCCACACCAGTCGACTAACACCCAAGTACCCATTTTACTGATGGGGAACATAGACAACAGGTGGAAAGAAACACGTCCAATGTTTCTACTCTGGCTGGGAATCGAACCCAGGCCCTCACCGTGTGAAGCGAGAGCGTTAACCACCAGGCCACCAGAGCCCCATTAGTATTATTAAATCAAGGAGGATACCTAAACCCGAGGATTATACAGCGCCTGGGGTGGGATGTGAAGCATTCAGGCTTAATTCGGCAACTGGAGCACAGATCCAATTTCCCTAAATCAAGAGTCCCTTCACCAACTCAGGAACCTTCCTAGGGGAGCAGGCGCACCAGAAGCCCAGTTAGTGTCTATTCCGAAAAGTTTCGCCCATACAGTAGGTTTCTACAGTCACATACAAATATTATAAACAAAGACAGCAGCAGCAGTGGAGAGGTAAAAATCATAAATCAGGCCATCAGCTTAGTGGTAGTTTGAGGCGGTCAGTCCCTCAGCCTGGAACGGGAGTCTACCTGTCAACCTGGAACCAGGTAGACTCCAGGCTTAAGGACTGGTGACGTTTTTAACTTCACAATTGTGAACCAAAGGTGAAGCTAACTTAAGTATTATTATTATAATCAAAAAGAAGCGCTAAGCCACAAGGCTAACTTAAGTAAGATTTGTTAGGAAACAGGAAGATAAATATTCATATCTCGCGAAATCGTAATTACACGATTGAAAACAAATCATATCATGTGTTTACCTGGAGTTTACCTGGAGAAGGTTTCGGGGGTTAACGCCCCCGCGGCCCGGTCTGAGACCAGGCCTCATGGTGGATCAGGGTCTGATCAGCCAGGCTGTTACTACTGGCCGCACGCAAGCTGACGTAGGAACCACAGCCCGGTTAGTCAGTTAGACTTTAGGTGCCTGTCCAGTGCCTTCTTGAAGACAGCCAGGGGTCTTGAAGACAGCCAGGGGTCTTGAAGACAGCCAGGGGTCTTGAAAGACAGCCAGGGGTCTTGAAGACAGCCAGGGGTCTTGAAGACAGCCAGGGGTCTTGAAGACAGCCAGGGGTCTTGAAGACAGCCAGGGGTCTTGAAGACAGCCAGGGGTCTTGAAGACAGCCAGGGGTCTTGAAGACAGCCAGGGGTCTTGACAGTCAGGGGTCTTGAAGACAGCCAGGGGTCTTGAAGACAGCCAGGGGTCTTGAAGACAGCCAGGGGTCTTGAAGACAGCCAGGGGTCTTGAAGACAGCCAGGGGTCTTGAAGACAGCCAGGGGTCTTGAAGAGAGCCAGGGGTCTTGAAGACAGTCAGGGGTCTTGAAGACAGCCAGGGGTCTATTGGTAATCCCCCTTATGTATGCTGGGAGGCAATTGAACAGTCTTGGGCCCCGGACACTTATTGTGTTGACTCAAGAAATCGTAATGACACGATTGCAAACAAACCATACCCCCGGCCGGGATTGAACCCGCGGTCATGGAGTCTCAAAACTCCAGCCCGTCGCGTTAGCCACTAGACCAGCTAGCCACAATAAGATTCATCCAACTAGGTATATTTCTACACCATAGGAAGGTTATTGTGGCTAGCTGGTCTAGTGGCTAACGCGACGGGCTGGAGTTTTGAGACTATGACCGCGGGTTCAATCCCGGCCGGGGGTATGGTTTGACTTATTGTGTTGTCTCTCAGTGTACTCGTGGCGCCCCTACTTTTCATCGGGGGAATGTTGCATTTCCTGCCGAGTCTTTTGCTTTCATATGGAGTGATTTTCGTGTGCAAGTTTGGTAGCAATCCCTCCACGACCTTCCAAGTGTATATTATCATGTATCTCTCTCGCCTGCATTCCAGGGAATACAGATCAAGGACTTTGGACCGTTCCCAGTAGCTTAGGTGCCTTAACGCACTTGTGTGTGCCGTTAAAGTTCTTCATACACTCTCCAGGTCTACAGTGTCGCCAGCCTTGAAGGAGGCCGTTAGTGTACAGCAGTATTCCAGCGTAGAGAGCACAAGCGATCTAAAGAGAATCGTCCAACTAGGTATATACCTAATTGGACGAATCTTATTGTAACCAGCTGGTCCAGTGGTTAACACGTCGGTCTGGAGTTTTATGACTAATCGCGGGTTCTAACCCCACCGTCACTGGTAAAGGTATGTTTGAGCTGTTTCTATGGTGCTGAGGTTGTAACAATCACAGATTTAGACACGTGACACCGTACTGGGCTTACAACCAATTAACTACGAGCCTATGTGAAAACTTCGGGTCTTAATTACAGTTGATGCACCTTCTTTCTCAATGTTATATGAACTAATGTTCTGAGTGAACCTGGTGACTGAAGCTCTGGCTTCACACGGTGAGCGTCCGGGTTCGATTCCCGGCGAGGGTGGAAACATCGGACGTGTTTCCTTGCACCGGTTGTCCATATTCACCCATCAGTAAAATGTGTACCTGGGTGTTAGTGGACTGGTGTGGGTCGCATCCTGGGTGTTAGTGGACTGGTGTGGGTCACATCCTGGGTGTTAGTGGACTGGTGTGGGTCACATCCTGGGTTTTAGTGGACTGGTGTGGGTCACATCCTGAGTGTTAGTGGACTGGTGTGGGTCACATCCTGGGTGTTAGTGGACTGGTGTGGGTCACATCCTGGGTGTTAGTGGACTGGTGTGGGTCACATCCTGGGTGTTAGTGGACTGGTGTGGGTCACATCCTGGGTGTTAGTGGACTGGTGTGGGTCACATCCTGGGTGTTAGTGGACTGGTGTGGGTCACATCCTGGGTGTTAGTGGACTGGTGTGGGTCACATCCTGGGTGTTAGTGGACTGGTGTGGGTCACATCCTGGGTGTTAGTGGACTGTTGTGGGTCACATCCTGGGTGTTAGTGGACTGGTGTGGGTCACATCCTGGGTGCTAGTGGACTGGTGTGGGTCACATCCTGGGACAAAACTGACATAATTTGCGGGAAATGCTCAGCATAACAAGTGACTTCCTATATAGTAGTATGTCACTGATGTCAACTATGATCTGTATACCATGTACATGTACTGGTATACCTTGTACATGTACTGGTATACCAGTACATGTACTGGTATACCTTGTACATGTATTGGTATACCTTGTACATGTACTGGTATACCTTGTACATGTATTAGTATACCTTGTACATGTACTGGTATACCTTGTACATGTATTAGTATACCTTGTACATGTACTGGTATACCTTGTACATGTACTGTTATACCTTGTACATGTACTGGTATACCAGTACATGTACTGGTATACCTTGTACATGTACTGGTATACCTTGTACATGTACTGGTATACCAGTACATGTATTGGTAGCAAATAAAGATATACTGATATATTTTCAGAATCTTTATTTAGGGGGAGTGAAGACGTCAGTTCATTTCTCACCGACCTTACGTTATATATGGTGAAAAAATCTCGCTACGTTAGAGGTTCTGAAAGCCAACTTAAGCCGAAAGCCCGCAACCCTCTCCAGGTAAACTCCAGGTAAACTAAGCCTCGAGTCCCACCAGCCGGATCACCAACCTGCACTTACTACAAGAGTGATGGACTGAACACCGATTCCAGGCTGAGGGACTGATTGTCTCAAACTCCTCCTCTCCTTACATTATTATTATTATAATCAAGGGGGAAGCGCTAAACCCGGAGGATTATACAGTCCTCTCCTTACACCTTTCGGATTTGTGTTGGACTGATGAAGCCACTGTGTGGCGAAACGTTCCTTCAATAAAGATTC